TAGTATATAAACAAAAAGTGACCAATTAGGGAGACCACAAAGGCCTAAAAAATGAAAACAGAGATATATCCCTAAAAATAAAATAAATTTGCTCCTCCGGTGCTTACAGAGGAAGTGAGGCAGATGTCAGAAGCAGAGATTAATTTCCCAAGGAGAAGGAAATAAGGCTCATGCCAAGAAAGAATTGAAGAAATTAGAAATGTGCAAAAGCTGCCAAAAAGTCCAGGACCAGATGGGCTGCAGCCTACATTTCTAAAAGAAAGAGCAAATGAGATGGAAGAACCATTAGCAGATATATTTAGAAAACGTGTGAGAACAGGGGAATTACTGATGGACTGAAGAGAGGCAAATGTAACACCCATACCATACCCTGCACTTAAGTAGCAGCAATGACTCTGGAACTGTGACAGTTCCCTACTGCCATGGTATTGTGCTAGCATTAACTGCTGACATGGCAGAAGGGGCTGCTGCTTAAGTCTCTGCTGTAACAGAGACGTGCTTGTCCAGAAGAGTTAAGCATTAGTCCCGGTAGGCTTTGTCTGCTCTTCAGGAAAAGCTTTCTTAGGGTGTTTTAAAATTCTAACAATGCTCAAAAGAGCAGTCTTTATTATTTCATATTACTTTGAATAGTGAAGTATCCATTTTTCTGCTTTTATGGGTAATTTACTGAAATACAACAGTCAACCAGGTCAGAGAAAGATTTACTACTCCAGCAATTCGTATATATGTTCAGCCATATTAAAACAAGCCTTGAAAGCTAGCTCTACAACTAACTTTGAAATTTAACATTGAAATGACAAAAACAAAATAAAATGCCAACACATATGAATGTTCACAAGCAAATCACAGCAGTAGTAATTAATCTAGATCTCAAAATATTAATTCCAAGTGAAACAACATAAGATGCTATGAGAAGAGAAGCAGAAGGTAGTGGCGAAAACTTGACCTGTAAGAGAAGTATTTAATTTTTAAAAAAATTCTTTAGTGATGTTAAAGGAAATAATCAGTAATTAAACAATTAAAGAAGAATCGGTGAGAAACTCTAGAAAACTGAATGACTTCTCTTGGAGTCCTGATATATAAATATAGCTCAGCATATAGAGAATGTTGCAGTGTAATTCAGATTGGCATACCAAATGAATTTTGGAAGCAATAACTTCACTAGATGGCAGATTTTTTTTATTCAGCTATAATTTATAAATAGGAATTCTCCCCAGTCTGGACTTACATTCCTTCCTTTTTATAATTAGCCATTTTTTTACCACAAAAATCTTTCATTCATTGTTTATACTCCGCCAAATTCTAATCTAAACATTTCCCTGATACCTCTCTTCATACACATGATACTAGCTGATGAGAAAAACTACTCAAAAAATAACAAGTTAATTCACCTTCACTTTCTTTAGTTGCAGCATAAGAAACTAACTTCAGTTCAGTTTCTTCAACTGTTCCGCAGGCGAACTTTTGTTCATGCATCAGCCTACTGGAATCTGGTACGGGAATGGAAATGTTATACCAGAGGACAAAATCTAAACCACTACCATCACTTATCAGAGCCAACATACAAAGTGTGCACCTAGCAATGGAGAAACAGAAGAGTTAAAAATATTGGTAGAAATTTGAAGAATTTTTGTTTGGTCAAATCTTTTAAGAGATTTGAATGCTAAGAAATTTGGTGCAAAGAAATTCAATTATTTTAAAAGCAAGAGGCGACTCCTGTTATCGTAATCGCAAGCACTTGGCAGCCATTAAGCTCCAAGAGAAAATAATCTCCAAAAAGTTTTTAAAATCTGAATCTATGTCAAGTACTCCTCTAACAGAAGGGTAACAATTGAAGTAACTCAATCTAATCAGACTCACAAGTTCAACGTTGTTATCTGAAACAGTTTATTTCCTATTAGTTATGACTTTTTCCTCTTTTAATGGTAATTGACACTCACTGTATTGTACAAAATACCTTTTGTATTTGAGAACACAGCATTAACAACTGTTATACAGTAACGGTAGGCCCAGACAAAATCCTAGTAGTCTACCAAAAGAAAACAATATTAATAGGTTATGGTAAAACTTAAACAATTTTTAAGGCACATTGCTTGTCAAAGAGGTTAACTCACTGATCTGGATACCGTGACAAATTCTTATGGGAAAAAATGCAGAAGGGCATGTGATACGCTGCTACATTACATATGCACATTTTGTCAAAGGCAATATTTACCACATGAGCCCTTATTAACACTACCATCTCACTGTTTTAATAACATAGATTTGAATCTAGTATTGCTTTGTCCTAATACATTAATTGAAGCTCTGTTAGCATCAGCATATGAAGTATAAATTAATTTTCATTACTAAGTGAACTACATGAATCTCACAGAATATATGATGTAGCTGAAAACTATCTTTCAGACAAAGGACAACCAGCAATTTGGAATATCCTTTTCTTGCCATACAGACAACTGGTTAAAAAGAATTCTCTGCCATGTCATCTTAGGCAAGTCAGAGTTAAGTTCCACGTAAAGACGCATGCAGACCACTATGACTACAGACTAAGTGCTTCTAATTTCACTATTATTTTTTAAAATACATTAATACACTTTTGAAAATGGAAGCATGCTTCATGAATATCTATTAATTCTAACCATAGTCCAGTTTTCAGTGTATCTACTAAGCAATAATTCACTTCTTTCAGCCATTTAAGATTTCACACTCTCATCTCCAGCATGATCACTACCTTTCCTTAGAACTGCATATTCATCAAAATGTCTGTGACTCAATGGATCTTCTATTTAAATTATCAAGCCAAATTCTAACACTGTCTAAACAAGAGACACTTGTAACAGTGGCATAGAAGCAGTACTAGATACCTGTATTTGTTTACACATAATGAATACCAGAGTCTCTCCAAGACTAAGTATGAGTAAAAGAAAAATATAAGTCAAGTAATTTAATGTCTATTACATCAATCTTTGTAAGATTTTTCCAATTAGATATTATGGCACTATTATATTCAGAAATATTAACACTTTTTCATAAATATATATACATATTGAGATATTAAGGTAGATTGATGGGAACACTAATCATGCTATCACAAGAAATATATTTTGAAAAAGAAGAATAATACAGAAAAGAATGAAGTTTATGTTCAGCAACAATCCATTTCAAGAAATATTTATCTAGAAAGATACAATGAAAAGCAGCATAATGTATAGGTAACAGGTTATTAGAATTAAGTTAAAACCGTAAGTCTCCATACTTGTCTGAGAGAAAGTGACAGCTAGGAACTGAAAAACATTTGCTGAAATATTGCAAGACTCTTATTCTCTTCTAAATACAGTCTTAAACCGCACTATAGTCAAAGGCAGGCAAGCAATAATGAACCAGTGTGCAAAGCAGAAAATACAAAAAGTGAAAAACGAAAGTCCTGTAATTTTTCTTGGCATGGAATGGAAATCTATTTTGCAATCCTAAATTACACTCCAATCATACTGAGAGTTTTTCAATTTATAAATGCATACTGCAAGTTCTTCTAAGTTTATTTCTGCATGAATTATGTGTTAAAGCATTAAAATGAAGACTTCAATCACATACAACCACCACTCAGGTTATCAGAGTAATGCAATGGCATTCCTACTACAATAATGCTTACATATAGAAATGTCTGTTAACATGATACTTGCGAAGAAAGTCTGTTAACACAGGAAAATTAATGTGGTAAAAGACATTAAAATACATTTTAAGAAGCATTAACCCTTAGTATTGGGATCAAGAGTCATCTACAGACAAATCTTATGCACACATACAATAAGAAAATACAATTCCAGTTGAAATAGTATTTTATATTTATATATTTCTAAAAGTAGGAATGAGCAGCAAATCAAACAATAAATGTCTCTTCATGAGTTAAATTCATTAACTTATGAGTTAACATTTAACATCAAATTATTCAGCTCATTTTAATTGGTATTTCACTGTAAAACTTTACAAATGTGAATTACTTCAAGTGGCAATCAATTATAGGTCTACTAATAACAATATTAGTTAATTTTTATCAGAACATACACTGCTCATCAAAAATTAACCAAGACTTTACCATATTTTATTTCTTCCAAGTGTTCCAATTTCTGTAACACACGTATACAAGAAAAACACAACATACCACAGTATTCAGTACTGTGATTCAGTACAGCTATCGCTGACGCACTCTGGATTTTTACCACTGCATTGCATTCTAAAATCACATGTGCCAAACACCTTGTTTTATTCATTCTTAGCAAATAAAATAGTTTTCCCAAATTAATCTTCCTATCCCCTTCAGGAACATACCACTTAGAGGGAATCTGTATTTGAAGAGAAATTTAACTGACAAATAGAAACAATTAATTACTTTGCTCAGATTGCTGCCTGCTTTAGATAAGGAAAGACTACCAAATATTTCTCAAACCTAACAATACTGAGTTCTTACTCAATTATTTCCTAAATTATATTGCAAAATTAGTATCATTCCATACATTTTAGATGCATCTTCATCCAAACTCAATGTGGTACATAAGAATAATTGAAACTATGCATTCTTTTTACAGAATAAAGATCATAATTAGTAAATATTATTTAATAAGTGGGAAAACATTTCCAAAAACAAAACTATTTTAAAACCTTCTTTCCTTCATTTGTAGTAGTTTGGAAGCATACATAATGTTACATTACACTAGCAAATGCACAGACTGCAGTACTATACAGGAATTCAATCCAGTTTACCAGTCTGGTACTCATCATCAACCAAAAGTATAATGGGATGCCACAAGGTCCACAGTAGGCCACTGAAGCCCTTACTTAAAGCCCATTTGTAACATTTCAAAGTAGCAAGATATCAAAACCAAATCTTGATAGGCACAGGTGCATATAAAGACAAAACTTTTAGGAGTTACTTATGCAGAATCCTTTGCTCAGCTTACACAAGTCTGTATAACACAACTGACTGCAGTCCCACCATCACTCACCACAAGTGAAAGGGGCCTCTTCCATGAAACAACACCAATCAATCCTGACAGCAGCACCTGCAACAGAGAGAGCAGAGTTACCAAAGACATGGGTTTTACAACAGCATTGTTAAAAGTGATTATATTAGTACGTGCTAAGGTAAATTTCGGTCATGACATGTTTCTAGAGTGTTGGAAACAATCTGCTGAAAAGATAATGTTTTCATTTTATTCTGCATAAGACTTAAACAGAAGTACTGTTAATCTATTTTTCAATCCAACCGCAAATCCAATTAGTTCTGATAGAATACAATAGGTCTTCAAACAAGTTCTCCCCAAGTCCCAGATGTTATCAACAATAACAGAGGAAAAATGTTTAGAGTAAGTTTTCACGTGATCTCTCAGCATCCACAAAAATCAGCTCAGAGAAACACACAAGAAGGGGAGTCAAGATGTGGCAATCATTAACTCTGTTAGTATTTCAGCACAGCTACAGCAAACACAGAATGAGTAAAACACAACGGAGTGGAGGAAAAGAAAAGAACATCAGGAATTTTTTCCATTAGGACATTTAATTAAAATAAAATCCAGGGAATATGTTTATTTCATGGTTCTGCAGTATCATTTACCCTGTCTAACAGTAACTCTTATACTTAGCTAAGCTGATGCAATCATTATGAAATCTTTCTGTAAACACTTAGAGAAAGCAATAGTATCATTACTGCTCTCTATAGTCCTTTGATATTCAAAGGGGTGAAAGACCAGGAGCTAATAAATACTCCTTCCCATTACATGGTATTTGAAGCTGGCTGAAAGTCAAATGTCAGAAAGTCACCATACTCACTGTATCATGCTTTACCAGCAATCCTTCATGTATATTAACAGTAGGGCATAATAATTAAAAAAGCATCTATATTTATCATCTAGAAGCAATGCTGTACAATCTTGCTGATAAACCAGGCTTGAAATAAGAGTGTCTGCTGATGTTTGGTGTGAATACAGAAGGAAGATCTGTTGGTGCACAGAAAAGATGGGTGGTGCAGCGCCCAGTTTAAGCTCTCGCTATGTCTGGTCTGTGGGCACTCACACTGTAACATATTACACACAACTTAATGAAATCCACAGCTACTGCAGTTGAAAATATTACTCAGGAAGACATGTTGGAAGATGCATCTTCTGATATTTAGCAGCTGTGGAAAAACCTCAGATAAGGTTTCATAGTAAGACTACAATGTTAGTTCTGAATCCAAGTGCAAACAGAACCGGTGAAAAGAAAAAGAAAGCATGGCAAAAAGTGAGCCAAAAACAGGATATGGATGTCTAATGACCACGCAAATGGTCTCCACATACAAACACACATTTTGTATTCTACAGCATATCTTACAGCATTATAGTTATGCATCATATTTCTGCATGCTGACCAAGGCAGAGAAAAGCAGAGTTCCATTTCTGAAGTTAATTTAATTTGCTCACACAGATGCATTTGCCTATGATTGCTGTATGGCAACTGTCTCTGGCTGATAATCACGTAATGTGAAGCTGCACTCAAGAAGGTAAAATGACAGGGTTATCTAGCTTTACTTCAGGCTAAACAGCCGTACGCTCTTAATTAAATAAATGGAACAGCTGAAACCATGAGGTTATTACAGAAAATCCTTTAAGAAAAATAAAAAACTGCCTTCCAAAAAAAAGTATGTGTTGATATGTAAAATACTCAATAAATCAGTTCTTCTCAGTCACCAAGTTGTGTTAAAGAGTCAAAGTGGTTCAGTACACACTACCTACAGCTAGCAAATCATCTCTTCCATTTGCCATGTAACCTCTCTACTGCAAGTTACATCTCTCCCCCTCAAAACACTTGTGGCACTGTGCATCTCTAGAACAGTAAAGGAGCAAATCCCTTCTGTTCAGTTGAACCACAGCTGATTTTGATCACCAATGCTCTGCAGGATGAAAGAGTTAAATGTGGTTTTGTTATAAAGAGAGAGCTTGCTGGCACTTATGCTACCACTAACCATGCAAAAGGTCAAGTCTGTAAATTGGTACATTCTCAATACGCACTGATGGTAGACACTAAAACTCTGTGCTGTACCTGTGTCACTAGCATTGCCGTTACAAGAGTTCACATGAACAATACTGCAAGGTGATTTTCCAAATCCTGTCAGTCCCCATTATCACTGTGGTCACCCATCAGTTTTATTTTGCTTTGAAATGTAGTTTTCACTAGCGGCAAGCATCTTTAAGCTGCCATATACACAACTGCTTAATTAGGAAAAAAGCATGCTGGGAACATTACATACCAACACTCATTAAAATGCATCAAGTGACTCTTAAAACAGAAATCTAAAGATGATTTCTTCTTGGTCTTGTACACAACTAAGACTTAAAAGTAACAACATGAAAATTTTGTATTCTCTTCATTTTTACTTCTTTTTGTTTTTCCTTTTTACTTCTTACAAATGCAATGCCAATTTTGGGTAAAGTAAACAAAAACTTTTATATCCAGAAGTATGAATTATTTGAATAGTAAGCAACCCACAGATCTAAGAAACCATACAGTCATCATTCATGGTATCCAAGGCTTCCACCAGTGGAAACAGTATGCATAACCCACGTTCGGTTTCACCAGATGAAGGGCCATGAAGCCCAAGTACAAGGTGAGGGAGTTCTTTTACACAAGTGTCTAAACTGCGCTTCCTAAACATATACAGCTCAGCATATCAATCCACAGGTCTCCTCATGTTTTTCAAAAATCAATACATTGTATGCACAACATGCAGGTTTTTTTCTGTCTCAAACAGAAAAACCTAAATTGTAAATTGGTATTGCCTATTAAACTTTGATAATGGGTTTGATTTCAGAGCCTGCACATAACATCTAATGTCCTGGACCTAACTTCTATCTGCTGAGCTAGTGAAAATGCCCAATCACACCATAATTATATAATGAAACTGCTAAAATTTTGTTCAAAAGCATATGTTTGACAGCTTTTGCAGAATTCCTACAGCTATAACAATGGTGTTGATTCACAGAGCAAAAAATAAACAGAATACTTCAGTCCTGACTTCAGCAGTATTAGAAACACCCTACCAGTAGGTATCAATGCCTTTCAACATGCACATAAAGACTCCACCATCACTAATGCAAGTTGTGCTCATGCACAGAGAAAATGCATTTATTTTAACATGCACATACAGAGGCAGGACAAACACAGAGGGTAAAATTACATCCCAGTATAGGGATTTCAAAAGATGGATTTAAACCAGCAGTAAAGAAAAAAAGAAAGAAATCCTTGACAGTTTGTTTGCCAGCATTTTCAGAGGAGTCTGACTTTGAATATGGGACAGATTAGATGATGCAGTCTCATGATACACCTTACACTACTGGTTTTACAAATCTTCACCTCCACCATGGTTATTTGTATATAATTCTTTTTCTGGTATCCTCCTTTTAAACAACTTTTTTGGACTACAAAAAATTATACAAGCATTAATTCAATTCAAACCACAATAAATACCATGAAACGCTATCAAGGTTAATCTACAGAACAGTAAAATTACTGATGTTTCAGCACTAATTTGTTTAGTAAAACAAATCCTCTCTTTTTTTTTTTTAAGTACAACTTGAGATCTTGCAATGCCTTTCCAACATACAGCATATTAGCTACAGAGAACTCAAAGCCCAGTTACCTATCCTTATTTCTAGTTTCTTGTTGAGGATAATACAGCATATGCCAAGTCATCTGCTCCTGCTCTGCAACTTTAAGAGTTCCTCAGCTCGTAAACTCTGAACAAATTCTGCAGACAATGGATTCAGTCACTAGTAAAATAAGCATTCCTGTTGTTCATAAAAATTGAAGGAAACTTCTCCTTTGCCTTCTTCTAAGACACCAGACATAGCAAATAATGGAAATTATGGTCATCTCTACCTCCTAAATTGCCTGAATAAGCAGAAACAACAGCTTCTGCATTTCCTTCCAAAGCAGAGGACAATATGCATATAACATGTCAATTCAAATGTACACCAATTCAAATATGTTGAAATAAACTATTTTTTGAGAGACAGAAAAAAGAGAGATCACAATATTTAATTTAGAGAGAGTAACTGTGCTACTAAAAGCATTGCAAATATGGTGGAGGGGAAGCCAATCCAACACGTAAATGAGCTCTAGTAACAACTGAAATTAAAATGGAAACACTTGTCTAACAAGTTTGGTATAATTGATAAAACTACAGCACTCACTTTATTTTGCAGAATAATAGATAGCTTCATACCATAAGAAAATATAAGTGCTTCCAGGTGACTTAGAATAGACAAGGTAGCAATCAAAGTAAATTAAAGCATAACTAAGGAAATTAAGGCATAACTGCAGAAGCAGGGCTTAATGGAGTTTCAAACGAACTAATTAAGGGACAGACAGTATATAACAACTGAGGAGAATATTGAAACAGCAAAGAACGTGGTGTGGTTTTCTACGTACAAAGTGCTCATAAAAAGCAGCTTTACCTACAAACATGAAATAGTATTTTAAAAATAATACGCCAAAATTTTGTAGCATTCCACTGGACATAAAGAAAACATCGGGGGCAGCCTAATTATATTTAAAAAATAAAAATATCCACACATTTATGAATAGATTTAATCAATATTTCAAAATAAAAGACCAGAAAACTATTTTGAGAAAGGTGCTGTGAAAAATAAATGTGATTTTACACAATACAATGAAGCCCAGATACTGTGTTTAGTTTGGGGCCCCTCACTACAGGATAGATCCTGAGCTGCTGGACCACATTAAGAGAACAGCAACAAGGGTGGGGATGGGGCTAGAAAATAAAACATAAGAGGAACAGCCGAGGGAAGCGGAGTTGTTTGGTCTGGAAAAGGCTGAAGGCAGACCTCACTGCTTTCTACACCTACCTGAAAGGAGGAGGCAGTGAGGATGTCAGTCACTTTTGTCAGGTGACAGGTGGCAATGAAATGTTGTGCCAGATTTAGATTGGACATTGGAAAGAACTTCTTCATGAAAAGGCTGGTTAGGCATTGGAGCAGGCTGCCTGGGGAGGTGAGGAAGACCCCTT